AAAAATGAATACCGATGCCGTAACCTTAAACAGATTTCCAAAATATTAATTTACAGTTTTCTTTTTTATTTTATTAGTTGTTATGTAAACTTATAGATGGCGCAAAGATCTTTCAATGACCTTGCAAGTTCAAGATGTCTTCCGTTGAAATCATCTATTCAATGAAAACAATGTTTACTATTTCAAAAACAAATTTAAATATTTAACTGTTAATGATTTAAGATCCTGGAGGATTACAAGAAATTGTTGTACCTGAAGAAACCAAAGTATTGTATTTTATAATGAACTGGGTAAGTAGAAAGCAATTTGTTTAATTTATCATTTTTACTAATAAAACTTTGTTTATTTTAGGTGTCCTGAAGATAGTATTAAGAAAATTGATATTGAGATGAAAATAGACAGAATGCTATGTAAATAAAGCAATATTGAAGCAAAATAATATGTAATCAAAACCAATTTTAATTACTGCCTATAAAAGAATAAAAAAATCATAAAAAATTCTATATTTCATAGATTTTATGTTTTCTTATTGTTACTACCAGCAGGTATGTTATTAAGTTTATAATTACACAACATTCATATTTCCTATATGAATGTTACACCAATCACAGTTAAAGAATCGCAAACAGAAACGAGACGAAACCCTTCAAGAATATGAAGTAGATATTGCTAGGATTTACCTACCCATCAGCACCGGAAAACATGATGGAAGGTTTGTCAGTCCAAATATTTGTTGATAAACTCCGTGACCACGAGATGCAGAAAACACTCCACTTAGCGAGCCACAAAACGTTGGTCGATGTCTTGTCTGCTGCTTTAGAGTATGAGGAAGAAGAAAAATATAAAAAGATGAAGACGAAGACCATCAATTGATGGTGTGGTATACTTTTAAAATGTTTTGTGAGTACATATTTATATTTTCTTTTTCAGCACAATATTGACAGGGAAGTATAAAAGCAAGTAAAATTTATTTAAAGTTACGAATTTTATTCGATTTTAGACTCAATTCAATGATAGAGTTACCTTGATCACCCAACACCCACTCTTTGTTCATAGTATGCAGCAAGCGGCTGGCAGATCACAAAATAATGGTGTATGAATTACAGCTAGTGAACTTGATGCTGCACTCATATATTTTTTGTCATGATGTATATAACTACCTAACTAAATATATAAATTATTTATTTTTCAGAGAATTATTAAATAATTTTATCCAATATTTGTTTTTTTATTGTCTTCATACCATATGCGGAAATTTTTTAAGAATATTTTCATAATGTTATATAGGTACAAGAAATAAATATTACTAAAAAATTATTAAAAAAAAAAATGAAAAAAAATAAAAAAGAACTAAAAACAAACTAAAAAAAAAATAAAACAAAAAACAAACAAAAATTGAACGATAAAAATTAAAAGCTGTTGAAAATATATAAAAACAATGAAGAAACAAAATTAGTAACTATCAAAGTTTTATATTTAATTGCATGGTATGGAAATCGATTAATCTCGGACTTACTAGGTCGATGACACATTAAAAAAGCTGAATTAGGAATTTTTAAATGGCAACAATGGGTTAATTCCAATTTATAATGCCTCAACCTGAAAAGGACCCAATAGAATGACAGAAGGTCTCCCCCCATAGATATATAACCAAGACAGATAGGATTATTTACAAAATTTTTGAAGAATGAACGGTGATGTCCGCGGTAGAAACTCAATAATCGGATTGAACATTGATGCCAAGTTTACGTGCTTTAAACTATAGATATATATAACCAATACAGATTACACAATTTCTGAAGTCAACGCGGATGATCCTCGACAGAAATGCACTATTTGGATAAAATTAAAATATTGATGCCAAGTTTGCGATGTTTTTAACTGTAGTAATGTTATTGCGTTTGCTTGAATTACTGTTAGGTCTTTAAATTGTCCAAAAAAAAATAATGTCTGACAACAGCGGAAGTAGAGTAGACCGCAATTGTGGAGGGTCGTATATTGTTTCATTCATAAAAATTCCTTCGATACAGTACTAGTCCAGGAGCCAGTGAATTTTTTCGTACTTGCTTTCCCGGTCCGTGTATATTTAAATAATCTATTCCCGGTGAACTGTATATTTAAAATGGAACGCCAATCTATTAACAAAAGTAAGCCAGATTGAATTCGCGCATTACGTCACATCGATACAAGTGAGATTGTTTACAAAGTACCTTTGCAGGCTTATTTTGCCCATTTCATGTATTTGTTTTTAAATCATGTTAAATTACTATTTTTGAAACTCAACAAGGAGAAAATCCAATTAACTCTTCCGTTGTGTATATATATATATATATATATATAAGATAAATTAACTGAAGTTAGTAAAGTATTAATACTAAAATTTTAATGTAATTTACAGAAAATAGCTAGGTGCGTATTTGTTTTTATATAATTTGATAATTTATGAAAAAAGGGAGTAAAAGTGGAATGATCAGTGGCCAGTAGGTCAGTCAATACAAAGTATCATATATTTCTATTATAACATAACTAAAATACCTACATCTTTTAATCATAAGAAGTTAAAAACCATTTTAATATATGCATTAGAATGAAGTAATAATAACTTAAAGAGACGAGGTCTTAAAGTAATAGCTGGTACAGCATGTTTTTTAAACGTTTCCTCATTGCTGCTAGAATGAAATCACTTACTATGAAATGTGCTCTAAAAACGGCATTTATAGCAGTCAGTGTTCAGTCTTAGGATCTCTTCCTAAAGCCCTCATCCAAGCTGCATACATATTAAAAAATAATAAAAAAAAAAACATATATACCTATATAGTTTTTGGTTCTGGGCTGGGTGCCCTAAAAGAGGACACTTAGCCGACAATTTGGCTCAGATAGCTAAAACCCAAATGTTACACCCCGAACCAGGACGTATTGCTATCCTTTTAAGTAAAAAATAACTGCAAATAACTTACCTGAAAAATGCGTCTAACTTTACACCAAAAAAACCATACACTTTTTCCCATTGTTGCAAGCACCCGATGACGATTAGGTAGATATCAACTAGAAGCATGTACTTAATGGTTATAAAGCTTATTTTAACACAAAAAGAATAAAGCACTAGTCGAAAAGCAGCAATCAAATATAAATAGACCACAATATTAAAATTCAAATTAAAAACTATATAAAAGACAAATACTCTAAAAGCGCAAAAGATCAGAACCAAATAAAATGAATAACCATAATAACCTAAAAATCACACTAAAATTGCAAAAACTATTACTGTAAAATCATGAGATTACATCAATAATGCATATGCGTCGGAGTATCGCAAATGTCAAAAGTACAGTGTTTCCATGAAAATTTAGCTATGTTTTTAGCAGTATTATAGGACCATTTCTACCACGCGCATCCAATGATATTGGCGTTCCACAGTTCACTGTATTTTCCTCACACCTCTAGTATAAATGATTTGACATAACGAAACTAACAATAATTATAATTAATGTAGAGTAATAAGTGATTCGTGAATTCTAAATAAAACAATTATTATATAAAAGTGAAAAAGGAAATGTAATTTATTTCCCTATTTTTTCTGTAATATCTTCAATTATTATGTTTAATTTCTATAAATAAACCAACTGGTTAGGTGAAACATTGTGATATAAGATTTTATTTATGTGTCCTATGCGTACACTTTAATATACAAAACACCTGGAACATTCTTTAAATAATTGTGGTCATAGAAATAATTGTGTAGATAACTCGTTTAAAAGTGTATTTTATGCACTTGCCAAATATATTATCCATACAGATTAATTAGACTATTTTTTTACTTAACTTCAGTACATCTACTACTAAAACTATTTTTATCAATGGAAAAAAGGGCCGTGTTCTCGTATGTTTTGACGCATTTTCGGCCTCGGCCCATCGGATCCCCCCTCTAAATATATATGAATTTTGCTTAGAATTGCTAATCCTACAATTCTCTATTCGTCACTGTCTCCTGGACTATACAATAGATGATGATAAGAACTTCACAACAAATATACTTTTATGAATGGCTAGTTGGGGATGTGGTCTCCCCCACATCTTGCGAGAGTTACGCTTCAGGGTATTTAGTGGCACTTCGTCTATGATGACTTCGAAGCAAAACATACGTTCCTGTATTTTCTCGAAATCATCAGACGAAACTGTCAAACCGAGTAGAATTTAAATATTTCGCATCAAATTAATTAAAGCGATTTTTTTTCAATGTTGTCTTTTGTTTATACATTATATTATCGACTTTTAAAAAAGTTATATAATTAAAATGGTACGACCTGCACTTTTTCACAAATAAACATATCATTTTTGACACTTAATAACTTATTCGTAGCCTCACGTTATCCAATAAAAAGTAAACTACCTACTAAAAAGCAAATCGATTATTAAAAAATATGTAGACAGTAATGGCTGGTATTTTTTAACAATTCTCTTTATGTATAATTTATAAATAAATGTTGTGGTTAGATTTACATTGCAATTTGTCAATATCATGAATAAAAAATATATATAATTAAAATATTTATATTTATTACTAACATAGCGCCCAAAATTTTTATACAAGAGCGTAAACAATTCTGTTACAAATCGAATTGCGCCAGGAAACATAAAACACTTGTTATGTATTTTAATAGCCGCATTAACTTTGCTTTAAGTTTTGGATATCATCATTCTAAAACTAAAAACACGCTGTATATTATTAAGAACGAATATGTAATCCAATGTAATCCAACTCATGAATTTTAGTCCATTGTAGGAAAATATTAGATATAGAATAAGAAAACTACTCGATTATTCACCATAAATCTCATACTTTACACCAAAGTGATTTTTTTGTGAATTTAATATTTTTTATTAAATATTATTGCGATGTTATAAAACTAGTAGATAATATATTTTTATTTAAAAATAATAAAACTAGGACAAAATAAATAAATGTATATTTTATATGACGAAATATAATTATCACTTACATGAATTTAAAAACTTTTAACTCCATTTGTATAAAAACTCGGTCTTTCTTATGTCACTTGAATATACTAAAAACAACTGGAATATCTTATTTTTCTTTTTTAAATATTTTTTTTTTTAGATGAAAAAAGTCAACCAATTGGTACCTCTTAGATAAGAGAGTAATAAAGCATTTATAATCAACAAAAAGCTGTCTTATTTAAATAATTTTAAAATATATTAAAATGTCAATTATTCTTGAATTACCTATATGTTTTTCAATGTTGGTAAGCCAAGTTTATACTTATTAAAATGAAACGGAAAAATAAATTGAGGGGGGGTTATTGGAAAAACGTGACCAGCCACAAAATTTATTTATTGATAAAACACGGATCAAAGATTCAAATAAATGTCTGAAACTGCTACAACTTTTTTAAAATGCAATAACTTGATTTTTCGGCTACTGATAGCATTTGTTGGAGAATATCGATTTGGTATGTGACTATTTTTTATTGCCGTGGTCTAAAAATGCCATTATTTTACAAACTGTGGCTTATTGTGTTCAATCAGCGGTGGCTCGTGGTAATTTAAAATACCAATTTTTTGAGCTAAATTTTGCACTCTTATACAATAATACACAAACATATGTACTGTAACCAGTGGCGTAACCACAGGGGAGGGTTGGGGGATCAGAACCCCCCCCTCATGGAGGGTTTTCGCATAACCATTTCCGCTATAGTATTGGCGTTGATCGCTATTGACATTCACTGTTTGTTTTTATTCACTTTCTTGATGGAACCCCCCATAGTTCTCAAAAACCCCTCCCATGAAAAATAGTTGGCTATGCTACTGATTGTAACTTCAATGTAAATAAATCATTGACCCCATTAAAACTGTTAAGTCGAGCATGGGAAACGTCAATTTTTATTAAAATTGCAAAACATAGTAGGAAAAATAATCTTAATTAAGGTATACATAATAACTAAAATAATAAAATAATAATAATAATAATAAGTAATTTATCATTTAAATACTACAAAATAACTAAATTAATAACAAAAAATTTAAATTTGTAAAAAAATATAGTTAGCAGAAATAGTGAGGCGTGATAAGGGTGTGAATTATACTCGTAAATGTTTCTCTTGTATCAAAAGTTGTTTAAGTATGTGCCTATAATTTATATGTTTTAAGCATGGATTTGATCATAACATGAGAATTGATTGTGTTTATGTATATTTTGTATATATCAGGAAATTTATTATACATTTTTAATTGAAGATATTGAAAGTTTCGTTGGCCTACGGTTTTTTTTGCAATGTTTGTTATAATAAATAGTTGTGTTTGATTTCTTGTTTGGTATGCATCAATAAGATTGTATGTTGTGCTTATTAGGGATTTAATGGAATTTTCCGTCGATATTCCCCTTCGAAAGCCAAATTGGTTTTCAGATAGAAAATTGAATTTTTATAAATATGTGGTAAATTGCTTTGTTAATGCTTGTTCTAAAATCTTACTGAAAGTTCTAATTAACGATATAGGTCTGTAATTTGTTTGTAATCTAGGTAAAAACATATCAATTATTGTCTGGAAGGTTATAAATTGGCCAATCCGATTTTAGGCTTCATTATGACAATGCCTAAAAATATTTGTGGCGCGCGTTTCAAATTTGCTTGATTTTTATTTTATTTTAAAAAATTCTTGTAGGAAAATTTGAAAAGGGAAAAATTTCAAAAAAATATTTTTAGATTAGATTTTGTGCTAGCTTTTAGAAAAAAATATTTTTGAATTTCACTAAACACGCCCATTAAAGTCGTTTTAAATTGTCTAGGCCATTGTCCGGTCTGGAAAATAGTATTTATTAAGTAAACTAAGGGATGGTTTTTTTTTTCTCCTGGGCTCGTCTGACTATGTGTCTCCGAATAATACTGAAGCCTATTGGCTTATTGTGTTTTACCCCATGTAAGTTCATAGCACCCACTCTATCACCTTTGTACCTTGTACAAGTTTGTACAGATCCTTGGGTGAGTGGGTTCTATACGTTGTTGGATCAACCTGGGGTTGTCCAAAAAGAGCCTGTCTTTTGCGATCTAGAGCTATGTGTTTGGTCGTTTCTGGTTTCTTGTGACATAGTCGGCACATGAGTTCCCTATTGTACATGCCAATTTTGTTTAAGTATCCCTTTACTGAGGCGTGCCCAGTCATGAACCCTGTTATCACTTTCAACTGGTTCCTATTCATTAAGAGTAGTTCTCCAGTTCCTTTGGGACATGGTCTGCCTATGAAGGCTTTTCCATGTGCCTGTTTTGGGGTGCTTCCCCAATAGTTGATGTGTTGTTCCCGAATTCAGTCATTTATAAAACCCTGGACTGTACTTTTTGGTACTCCTGGGTTTGTGTCTGGTTCCGGTGTTTCTTCTGACCTTCTTTTTGCAAGTTCGTCAGCCTTTTCGTTGCCTTCGATCCCTTTGTGACCTGGCACCCAAAATAGTTTTACTCTATTTCGGTCTGCCAGTGTTCTTAGTTCTTCGATGCATTCCCATACTAGTATGTTACAAAGTCTGCTGTATAAAATATCAGGACCTCTTTGTAACATTATTGAATAAATCCCGTCCATGCCCGGTGATTTATATGGTTCGAATGAGCTAATTGCCCATTTCAGTTTATCATAGTTCACCACTTCTTTGGCTATCCTCCAATCTTCCCTATTGGCTCTATTATGAGCTTCCAGTTCGTTTAGATTCCGGTTAGCCGGTGTGTGTGTGCGTGCGTGCGTGCGTGCGTACGTGCGTGCGTGCGTGCGTGCGTGCGTGCGTGCGTGCGTGCGTGCGTGCGTGCGTGCGTGCGTGCGTGCGTGCGTGCGTGCGTGCGTGCGTGCGTGCGTGCGTGCGTGCGTGCGTGCGTGCGTGCGTGCGTGCGTGCGTGCGTGCGTGCGTGCGTGCGTGCGTGCGTGCGTGCGTGCGTGCGTGCGTGCGTGCGTGCGTGCGTGCGTGCGTGCGTGCGTGCGTGCGTGCGTGCGTGCGTGCGTGCGTGCGTGCGTGCGTGCGTGCGTGCGTGCGTGCGTGCGTGCGTGCGTGCGTGCGTGCGTGCGTGCGTGCGTGCGTGCGTGCGTGCGTGCGTGCGTGCGTGCGTGCGTGCGTGCGTGCGTGCGTGCGTGCGTGCGTGCGTGCGTGCGTGTGTGTGTGTGTGCTATGGTTTGTGCACCAGAAAAGTGAACTCTGAAAAGTTTCCTTCCCTGTGATTGTGTACTCCCCAAGTTCATTCTTAAGGGTGTTTATTGTGTGTTGTGTGTCTTTTGAGAGAATTTTTTGGAGCCTGGCACATTCTTGAGTGCTTGCTATCTCCTCACAGTGCCTTCTCCAAGACTCTCTCTTGACTTTTTGTAAAGCTATGTTGTAACAGGTGCGTATGGTTCTATATAGTTCCCATTCGCCTGTTATTTTAGCCTCATTAAATTTTTGTCTCACCCGTTTCCTTAGTATTGCCAGGTCATCATTCCACCATGAAACTTTCCTGATAGAGTTCCTTGCTATTAAAGGACAGGTATCGTTGAAAGCGCTAGTGATTGTGTCATTAAACTCATCCACAGCCATTTCTAGGTCGGTTGTTGTTCTTATCGTCTTTCTCATCTTCGGAAGATTACATTCCAAGGAAGCATTGTAAGCCTCCCAGTCTGTTTTCCTGGGATTCCGATAAGTTTCTTTTGCAATATTACCTTTAATATTGAGGTTTATGTGTCTGTGATCTGATGAACTCTCTTCGTCAGATACATGATAGTCTGTAACAAAGTTACTCAAGTATGTTGATGCTATTGTTACATCTAGTACCTCCTTTCAGTTTTTTGTTATAAAGGTCGGTTTATTGCCTACATTTGTTATATCTAAATTATTTGCCATAATAAATTGTAGTAAAGAATCACCTCTTTCGTTGGTATCGGTGCTCCCCCAGAGCCTGTGGTGTGCGTTTGCATCACAGCCAATGATCATCTGCATTCCGTTGCGCCTGCAGAATCTCACCAGCTCCTCCTCTTCCCTGGTAGGTGTTGCTTCAGGATCGTCTGAAGGTAGATATGCCGATCCGAGTATTACCTCCTTCGGTCCATTTCCTGCATCGATCTTGATTCTGACTGCTGTCAAATCTCTGGAACAGAAATTAGTTAACGGCAGTATTTTTATGCCTTTTTTGACAATTATGCAGGTTCGAGGGGTGTCTGTGGATCTGTCATATATTAACTCTCCACCCAGCCCTCCTAAACCTCTTATTGTACCGTGTCTAATCCACGGTTCTTGTACCAGGGCCACTTCAAACCTCCCCATCGCCACTGTAAGTACCGCCGAAGCAGCTTTACAGTGCTGGAGGTTGATCTGGATTATCCTGATCCTCGCCAGGCCGCCTTAGGACCCTGAAGGTCACCCTTCCTAGCTTATAATAGGCCCGGAATTGTGACCTCTCGAAGGCCCTGTACGACGCTTCGTCAATTGAAAAGGATAGGAGTTGCCCTCCCTTTTTAATTTTTTTGCTCATTAAAAGCCAGTCCGGCGTCTTCAGTTCCGTATTCTGGAGCTAAAGAAGTCCCCTGACTTTTTCAACCTCGGACTCGTCCGGGATGAAAATCAGAACCCTGGGTCTTCTCGGGAGGTCCTTAGATTTAACCACGGTCAAATCCGCACCCTTCCAAAGGTTTCCCAAAGTGCCGACCATCCTGTTTAACCAGTCCGCGGTCTGTTGGTTAGCGCAGGTCATCCAAATGACCCCTGCGCTAAACGATGTTTTATGGAACTGTAGTGCTCCTCCACTGCCTGAAGGGGTAGCGTAGAGCCTTTCCACAAGAGTTTCTTGTACCAATTCTCCTTGTTCTTGGTCTAGAGTTGTATTTGGATGCCTTCTCTGGATGACAGCCAGTTGGATACCCCTCAAAGTGTCGCTGTACGAGCCAGCCGATGCCGGAGCATTTTTGGCCCGATTAGTTCCACTTCGAGTGGGGGGAGTCTGCGACTCAGATCGGGGCCTTTTATCCCCTTTCTTCGTTAGGTCCTCCCTCCGTTGCGTTCGTTTTTGGGCTGCATTCTTGTGGGGATTTTTCTCCGTCCACGTTCCTGCAGCCATTTTTCTTTC